GACTTCGCAAGCAGTTTGGGGCTCAAGCCAATGTAATTGGGCCCTGGATTCAAACCAAGATGGAGGTAAAATGAAAACACTGGCCATTTTTCTACTGAAGAGACTCCTGGTTTGCATTGTCTTTTCATACTTTTACACCAGCATTTCCCAATCTGATGTCCTCTAATGGGCTCGGCTTCAATCACCATCACTCCCGCACAGCATTCTGGTTGAGAATTATGAGAGCTATCTTTCTTCTCATCCCCAGCAACATGCTGGATGGGGTGATGGATTTTATCTTTCATTTTATCTGGAGGGCATCAGATGGTGGAAGCTGTTCTATATTCTCAGTGCATGATATACACAAAGTTAAATTCTTTTTATAACTTGTGGCTTTCAGTGAGAGAGATTTAAATAATTTGCTTAATTTTGCATTGAATCCAGTGGGACTTTAAAGTATCTGACTATTCCATAGGGCCACTTGGTACAGTTCAGCGTGTTAATTGCTCTGTGGAAAGCTGAAGACTGTGTAAGATCTAACTCAAATTCAAGCTTAGTTCTCTAACATACAGAAAAACAATAAAGAAGTTTGTTTTGTATAATGTGGCTACTAGGGAGGGAAATCTTTCCTATTTTATCCCACACACTAGAATGAAAAATCTAGTAATTTTCTCTCTACTCTGTGAGAATATGAGGGTTTCCATGTGATTTACGAGCACTATTTATATTGAGGAACTTTATTGGGGAAATTCTTTTAAGCAAAAATACACATTTTTCCCTTTGCAGAAAATGTGTATTTTACACAAAATACACAGATTTTGGCAGAAATACTGGGTTTTGCCCAGAAGACACTTGCAGAAAAGTGACACATGGTTTTTCCTTTCTAGGAATCCATATATTTGTGCAAATTATATAAAATTGCACAGAATGTAAAATTTACACAATGTGTGCAAATACACAGATTCCTGCACCAAGTTAACACATACAGACTTTTGTGAAGGAATCAATGTATTTTTCACAAAACATGTTTTCTGAGCAGGAAAGCCATGTGTATGTTTGTGTAAAAGTATTTTCCCCAGTGAAGTCCCAAGGTGTGAAGAATCTTACAGGCTGTCTCCCTTTCCTTGGTGGGGTGTTAGGGTACCTTGAGTGATAAGTCATCCCTTTTGCCTCAAGGATGCAAATATTAATGAGTATTCCTCACATCTCTCCCAAATATTCTAAATATAATTCTAATAATGTCTTAATGGGAGCCTAGATTCAGTGTCTTAATGGGAGCTTAGATTCAGTGTCATAGAATCCAATCAGGACTCCTTCATCCACAGTGAGGAAAAGTTACTTTGGGGGGATTACAACTCCCAGAATCCCATCACCATGCTGGCTAGGGGATTCTGGGACTCTGTAGTCTATAAATTTTCCAGTCCCTTACTTTAATCCCAGCGTGAGGTCAGGAATCGGCCTTAGGCTTCCCCCCGGCTTCTCCTGTATCCATACATCCCATAGTTAGATGGTTAAAAAACAAAAGAACTATATCCAGGTAACCCATGGAAATTCCCAGTTCACTTGCTGGCTTCTATTAGTGGCACAGAGGAAAGTCTCTTGAGTTCATCACCTATTCCCAGTCAGTTAGGTAGGCAATCCCAACTTGAACAGGTCTTTAAACTCAATTTGTTTCTTCATAAATTGTGAAGTTCATATTACCTGTCATCAGTGGCACCAACTATTCTTCCTATCATCAATAGTGAGAGTCTTAGGGCTGCCTGGGATATTAACACTTCCTTTGTTAATCAAGGGGTAGTGAAAGAGTCCTGGTGGCGCAGAGGTTAAATGCCTGTACTGCAGCCACTCACTCAAAAACCACAAGGTTGTGAGTTCATTACCAGCCAGGGACTCAGGCTCGACTCAGGCTTGCATCCTTCCAAGTTTGCTAAAATGAGTACCCAGCTTGATGGGGGCAGCTTACAGTTGTAAACCGCTTAGGGCATTGTTGGCAAACCTTTTTAAGGGCTGAGTGGCGCCGGGTGTTACCTGGTGCTGGGGGTGGGACTTCTTCCCCCACCCTCCTGCAGAGACAGCTGAAGGCCCGGGGGGAAAGGGGGAAGAAGATGAATAGGTGCATGCTACTTCCCCCCCCCCC